TCAATTTGATTAAGGCATATCAGGATTTAAAACCGAGTTGATACAAAAGAAATTTATTTAGGTTTTATTAAAAATGATTGAGAATCGAATGACTTTGTCTTCGATGTTTTGAACTTGTTTCTCGAATCAGAAACCAACAATAGTCACCCATCATTGCTTCATCCCAAAATCCTAGGTAACGACGTTCCATCATCTTCATTTTTTGGTGAAAACGTTTGCTGTGCTCATCACTCTCGTCACCAAGATTTTCCGGGAAAAAATCCATGTGAGAATGTAGGAAATGTATCTTCAAAGACATATTCACACCTGTGTTCAGTGAAATAAAAGGATTTGAAATTAATTATATGTAACAAACACAATATTTTTGATTTATACCTATTTTCTCATAATTTTTGAGCAATTCATCGACGGCTTCCTCATAATCTGGGCTTCTGAAATTTCCTAAAAAGGTTGGGACAACACGCTGGAACAATTTCCACGCTTCTTCCTCATCTGGTGTCAAAACTGTATTGAATGCGGAATCATTGAGCAGTTTTTTGATCTGTGGGCCAACAAATACACCTTCCTTTATCTTTGCGTCAGATAAATTTGGAAATACTGATTTCAAGTACTGGAATGCCGGCCCTTCTTTTTGCAACGCTTTGACGAAATTTTTGAATAGCCCAAGTGTTATACGTAGTGGTGGAAGTATTATGCGTTCTTTTACCACAAGAGGATCATTTTTAACGTTGTCTTTACCAATTGTGAAATTATCACGTTTTGGCCAATCTTTTCGGACGTAGTGTTCCTTACGAGCTCGACTGTCCCAATTACACAAAAAACACATATATTTTGTGTATCCCTGTTGCAATCCAGTCAACATGGCAACCACTTTAAGATCGGAACAAATTTTCCAATAGTGTTGATTGTAATTTATCAAATTGAGCAATAGAGCCATTGATTCATACGTTTCCTTCATATTAACGGCATGAGCTAATGGAATAGAAGGTTTCTCATTCCCTTGATGCAGTAAAACGGCTTTCAAGCTCAACTTGCTGCTATCGATGAATAAACGCCATTCAGCTGGATCATATCGCTCACCAAACTCTTCAAACAAGCCGTTTACGTCATGGCAAAAACATGCCTTGTCCTTTGTAGAATAATATTTGTCAAATTTCTTGTGACGATTCCTGTGACAAGAAATTTTGACCTCCTTGCTCAGCATGTTGTGTTCTTTCAAGCGTGATGCCAGCAATTCGGATTTCTCCTTCGATAAGTCGAGATCTCGCACCAAATCATTAAATTCGGATTGTGTAAACAGTTTTGGGATTCTTTCCAATTCCACCTCGAAGTCTTCCTCGCATTCCTCCTTGAATTCCTCCTCACTTTTTGTAACGGTCGATTCAACAGAGGGCGCTCGTTTTCGCTTTGAATAAACAGGATACGGGACCGAACTTGAATGTGGAACAGGTTTTGTCATAGAAGCCACTTGTGGATACTCAACTGTTTTGTGACGTCGTTGTTGCTTAACTTTTGTCAAGCAGAAATAACAATCTGTTGCATGAGAAAACGGTCGACGCCATATGGTGGGCATGTCAAAGGACAAATAGCGACTGACAGATAACAAATAAGTGAGTTAGTAAGTAAGACATTAACATTTATCAAAAATAGATGAAGTAAGATAATGTCGATCAGGAAAGAACAAAGCACTACCATGCTGTACATAAATTGTTTATATGAAAGTTATTTAAAAAATCAATTTACCTTGCGCCTGACATCCACCTAGCCAAGCACGTTTTGCACGAACTACATAATACTTTTGGAATCCACGGTTCGTCAAAGTCTCCAGGATCAATTTTAAAATAAAGCCTGAATGCAGTTTGCAACGAAGCAGTGAAATTGACCGATTTTGTAAATATATAGTTGCCACACGCGTAACAAAACTTTTGAGGATCATTTTTACACTTGAATTCACGTTTTGTCGTATACATCGTTAAGCAATGTTAAAGAAAGAAAGCTGTCAAATTGAGTTGGTTGCGTTAGGTTCTCGCCGAGCGATCTTACAAACACTAGCGTAAATTATATTGTTGAAAATATCCCATTTAATTTTGCGTGACAGCTGGTAGTGTTAGTGAAATCCACCGTATGCGTACACGTCCGCAGAAAGGCTTACTGGAAGTGGTGCATGAACTTAGGAGCGGGACAACGGCCAATCTTGGAACATTCAATTTCCATGATTTTACAAAAAATTTCATAACTTCGACAATTTCCAACCGATTTCATCCATTAAAGGCTCATTTTCTCCAGTTTTTAATGGACTTTAAGAATAAATTATGGAATGATTTTTTGAATCTTTTTATCCCATTAAAAATGTTGATTTAAACAAGATTTTTATGGAAAATTCGCAGGAAAAATAAAAAAAAAATGCTGTAAATTTTTAAATGACTTCAAAATTCAATTTTTAATTAAGACATAATATTCAAATTTATTTAGCTTTATTTTCATAAAAAAAGATTTAAAATTGGTGCACTAGTTCCAAAGATATTGACATTTTAGTAATCGTACTTTTGTCCAAAATTCAAAAAATCAAAATTTTTGTGTATCTCAAAAATGGCTCTACTTTAATTTTTTCTGACCACGGCATTGAATTCAGCGTAGGATTTTGCATTAGAAACGTTGGTCAACCACTAAAGTTCACACTTTTTATGTTGTTTTGTAAACTAGTGTATTCAGTACCAAATACCAGATTAGCCACACCTAGTCCTCAGTTGACACGTGAATTCATGAGCAGGATGACCAATGACGATCGGTGGCCAGAACCTGACTTGAATAAAATCCATCATACGACATATTGAAACAAATTATTCACCATGGATTAAGCGTTTCCATATTGACATCATTAAACAATTGAGTGACTACATTTTTGGTGGAAGATAAATTCTTAAGAAAGGTAAGATCGCACCATAGGTGGATACATTCAGGTGTTTCCTCAGATATGTTACAGCACCAAAATAACCAATGATTTTTTCTATTATTTTACCTGGTTTTTAGCATATTTTATCGAAAAATCTTCCAGATAGGGGAAATGACGGCTTCGGCATGCCAGACTATTTTCGGCAACCCAAATTGAAACACTATTTTCACTGGATTTTCTTACGAAAACACTTCGCTGAATGCATGTAAACGATTCTTTATGCTTTCAGCTTCAATTTGACTATATTTTTACCACTGAGAAAAAGCAATCTAGCAAGGTTTTCTTGAAATGAAACACACGCACTACAAATTGTAGCTGATTTCGAGTTGCCGATAATAGAACAGCAGATTTACATGCAGTTCAAATGGAAAGGTTGCCGAAGAAAAACTGGTTGCCGACAATACTCGCTCTCACTAGAGAAGATTGGAGCTTTGTAAAAGCGTTTCAAAACAGTTTTTGACAATTCTTTCGACTGAAATTGTTAGAGCAGCTGGCAGCAAAAGATTGTAAACAAACCAATACTGCATATGTGTGCGTTCCTTAGAGAAAAAGGCTATAGAAAGAAGGTCACTGCTTAGGTTGCCGATAATACGTAAATTCCCCTACTTCTTTATTGTAAATTACTAATTACTAAAAGCAGTCACATGGTTTTGGTGTATTTAATGAATTTCATAGCGCCTCTCGAAAACTTGAAGCTCCTTGTTCTGTGTATGTGGCTGAACTGGCAGCAATTCACTACACTTTGGAAACTATTGCTTCACTTCTTCCAGACCACTATTTTATTTTTACGGATAGTCTCAGTTCTGTCGAGGCTATCCGTTCCATTAGGCCGGTAAAGCACTTCTCGTATTTTCTCTTGAAAATACGAGAACTGCTTAGTGCTTTATCCGTGCGCTCTTTCATCATCACCTTCGCGTGGGTCCCTTCGCATTGCTCAATTTTGGGCAATGAGAAGGCGGATTCACTTGCGAAGGTGGGCGCTATGGAAGGCGACATTTATGATCGACAGATCGCCTATAGTGAATTTTTCTCTATTTATCGTCAGCAGTCGTTCGTTAGCTGGCAACATCAATGGAGTGAAGGGAGCTTGGGACGATGGCTACATTCAATTATCCCTAAGGTGTCGAAGTTTGCATGGTTCAAAGGGTTGGACTTGAGTCGAGACTTCATACGCGTGATGTCTCGTCTCATGTCCAATCACTATTGTCTAAACGCTCACTTGTTCCGTGTGGGGTTGGGAGACAGCAATCTCTGTGAATGTGGACAAGGTTACCAGGACGCTGATCACATCCTTTGGTCTTGTGTGGAGTATCGTGGAGTCAGATCACATTTTTATGATTCCCTTCGGGCTCGAGGTAGACAACCTAATGTTCCAGTTCGGGATATTTTGGCTAGACGCGATCTGGAGTTTATGAAACTCATATATGTTTACTTTAAGGATATTAACCTTAGATTGTAAGTTTGATTAACCTTGTGCTTAGTTTGTATTTTGTACGTCTGGGGGGTTTTTTTTTTTCAATGTTTGTTTTCAAGATGAATAGAAATAATTTCATGCTTTAGGATCAATTAAATAGTTATATCGTAAACCACATTTAAAACCTCCTTCTTCCCTTTTCCCATCCAAAAAATTGTAAATCTCCACTAACCTCGAGACGACCGCGAGTACTCGGTCCAGTTCCTTTAACTTTAAATATAAGACAGTAACAATGTATAACGCAAAGGATAACTCGGCTCTGTAAAGTTTATTCGATTGAGCCTGTACAAATAAAGTAATTACAAAAAAAAAAAAAAAAAAAAAAAGCAGTCACTTATAGTATACACTGAAAACGAAACTAACTCAGAGAGTGAGTCACTTTTACTCACTTAAGAGCATGAATAACCTACGCATTAAGAAAATTTCTCCATACGAATGAGTAAAAAAGACTTACTCTTTGAGTTAAATTCGTTTTGCATTGATTTACAAGATTCCCATAAAATACCATCCACATTACATCTACTGAACCAATTTTCCACTCTTTTTTCTCTCCCCATTTGTTCGCCAATCCAGTTTGCGCTCTAATTGGAACGACCTTACCGGGAAAGTGACGGAGCACAATCTGAAGAATGCAGGATCGCCCTCCAGAGTCGCCATTTTCATCGCCATCAAGCAATACGTTTAACCAATTTACAGCCCTGCAGAGGGGGCAAAAAAAAGTGGTCCGTACGTGCAAAGACTACCACCTCCATCAACCCCCATCGACGGAGCTAAAACTCAGTGATAGAAAAATAAGGATCCATATTTATTAGCTACTAAGGAAAGCAGCCGGCCGGAATGGATGAAACCCATCTATTATCAACCAATAAAATTGCATAAATAATTAGCTCCGTGAAAGGTAGATGTCGATTAGCGTGTGATCAAAGCTGATGGGAGGGAGGTGGGAGAGGGAAAGAGTGCCATCATCGAATCAACTTACTTTAAGCGACTTTATTTTACGAGCACGCGGCTGTTATCACAGAGGGCCATTTACCATTGGCGATCATCATCATCATCATCATCATCGTAGCAGCTAGTTTCGATCAAAGCCATTAATCAAATTTATGAGGTCTCAGTTGATGGGGGTAGTATAAAGAGCGTTCAATACGAGCAGAGATTGATACTTTTAAAGTGAATGGTCACCGTAAGCCAAAATCAAAACTAATCATCATTTAGCTGTAAGATGTTTCGAGTAAAGCAAGTCTTCGCAGAGATGCTTCGTTTCTTATCGATATCACATACATCCATGCCCGCAGCACGCACATATCCAAAGCCTTGTTTGATTGGCTCGCGAGCTGCTGCTGCTACTGCTACTGCTGTTATGATCAACCGCAAGCCGAAGAAAGTGAAGCGAAACGAAATGAAACACTCAGCAGCAGTTAGGATTGAACAAACGTACGGACGCATGTAGCAGCTCACTCCCGACATAATAATCGATTGGAAACAGTTACACTTTTCCTAATAAAATTAATTAAAAACCGGAGCGTTCAGTGCTTGTACTGAAAAAAAACTGCACTTTAGCGCATCCATCCGGTTCGGTGGCGGCCGTGTACGTAAGTAGGAAATGCCTTATTATGGTTAATGGGGATATCAGCTCCCAAGATCGGCCTGCACCCAACGACGACGCTCCGTTCAATTTCCAGTATAATTGAGACAAGGTTTTCGGATAAAATCAACTTCTAACCCCCCCTTCAACCGGGGGGGACACTTCTTCTTCCGATAGTTTTAATAATTACTTGTGAAAGATATTAGCACATGAATCAATGATGTCTGATGTAAACCTGCGTCATATATTATTTTGGTAAACTATATATTCAATTTGTGTATATTGGTTTTTTTGTTTTCCAAGCTAGCCCTATTCCAGCTAAGTGCTTCAATTACTTCTGGAAAGCAACGCAGTTTCATCCGCTCGCTCTCACCTCCTAATTGCTAGATAAACTAAAAAATCGATCAACGAAACGAAGATTTCCTCGCTACTGGTACCTACTACAAGTAAAACAATCTCTCCCCCCCCATTTCCGGGGATCACGCTTGATTTGTTCCGCGATCTTTCCGATAATACAGCTTACAGGATCAAGCCCGAACCATGTCCTCTCCATAAGGTACCACGACGCTTATCGTTATAAGTCTTTGAACTCCAACGTCGGCATGTCGGTGCAAGCGTATTCACCGAGGGGGGCGATGATGACCTGCAGCCGGATGGTGTCCCGCTTCTCGCCGACCAGATGGGGGCTCAGGTTGACCGCACTCAGCTGCAGTTCCTCGTACGGTATCAGATTGTCGATGTTCAACACCCGGAAGTCGTTGGAGAAGTACGCCGTCCGCACGTGGCACGTCCGGATGTGGGTGATCCGGTTCTGGACGCCGCTGATCAGGACGCCGATCTGGGTGGGAGAAATGGGAAAGCAACGAAGGGCGAATGAGTAAAGTTCGAAGTAGTGTGATCGTTAGGTTTAGCTTTTAGTGAAGGGCCTGGAAAATGCCTGAGATGCTAAGATCATCCGAAAAAAAATATCGGGTGACATTCGTTTTAACCTGTTTTAATATTCAATTGTTCAGTATTGCCGGCAGTACCGTATGCGTGATAATGTTTGCACTATTGAGCAATGTCAAAATTAAAAAAAAAATCTCAAAAATTTCCTTTTCGAGTTTTTTTATTTATTTAAAGGGGGGATATTTATCAGAGTCTTAAACTATGTTAATCATCGATCGAGTTTCCACTTGCTGCAATTACGGCCTCCACACGCTTCCGGAATGCACGGCAGGTTCTAATAATGTAGTCTGGATCCATTTCTCTCCAGGTAGGGGTCAATGTTTGTCTGAGACTTGCTGTACTCGGGTGGCGTTTAGAACAGGCCTTTTTTTAACTAGTTCGTTTATTTACTAGGCTCAGTCGTGTGTGACACTTTGCGGAGCCAAAATCAGTAATGTTTGATTTACATTTTAAATAGCAGTATTTCTAGGTTAGTATTGGGTACCAATTACTCGTGGCGGGCTCGAGGTTAATAGGTAACAATTTCAATTGGAAGGATCTAGGTAGGAAACTGGTTTCTGAAGCCTCCTTCAGATACTACTCTCGGACGGTTGACCAAATCCTGGCTGGGCAGGGGCAAGTAGCACAGGAACAGGAGGATAATAAGACTGGGACACAATGGCGGGAAATTGTTTGGAAAGGAGGGGATAGTCACATCAAACTAACATCAGACAAACAAAGGAATTCGTAGATCGCTTGCATGTAGGGAAGATCACGTGTTCCCAATACATCTCTTACTTCACGGAAGGGTTGTCTACCTCGGGCCACTAGGGTATCCAATAGTCGTGCTCTGGAGGCGTCATTACCCGGACAATACCAAACTGCGTGATCGATGTCATCATAACCGGTTCTGCACCTACATATATTGCTGTCAACGAGGTTTATTCTATACAGATGTGCGTCTAGCGAGTAGTGGTTGGACATAAGTCTTGACATCACTCGAATGAATCCCCGACTTACATCCAGACCTTTGAACCACGCTCTCGAAGAAACATTTGGAATAATGGAATGTAACCACCGCCCAAGAGAATTATTTGTCCAATCGTTTTGCCAACTTAAAAGAGAACTCTGACGTACTAGTGGGAAAAATTCATCATGTGAAATTCTTCTATCATAAATCTCGCCTTGTTGTGCGCCCACCTTTGCGAGAGAGTCTGCCTTCTCATTGCCTGGGATTGAGCAATGTGAGGGGACCCATACAAAGGTAATCATATATGATCTTTCGACCAGCAAACTCATCTGCTCCCTTACCTTTGAAACGAAATAAGATGAGTGCCTACCTTGTTTCATCGAACGAATAGCCTCAATCGAACTGAGACTATCCGAGAAGATGAAGTAATGGTCTATGGGCATATCGGAAATCATCCCCAATGCGAAGTTGATTGCTGCTAGCTCAGCAACATAAAAGGAACAAGGTTCCTGAAGTTTCCGAAAGGCGGTTGAGTATTCATTAAAGACGCCGAAGCCAGTGGATCCATCAGTGCGTGATCCATCAGTGAAAAATCTTCTATTGCAATTGACTTGTTGGTACTTTTCAGCAAAAATGCGGGGAATTGAGATAGGTCGAAGTTGATCTGGAACTCCTTGAATAGCCTGTTTCATGGAGAGATCATAGTCAATGGGGGAACTGTAGTTAGTAAAGCATACACGAGAGGGGTTATAGCAAGGAAGGCTAATATCCGATGACATATAATTAAGATAGATTCGCACGAATCTAGACTGGATGCTCAATTCGAGCATTTCTTCGAAGTTTTCAATCACAAGGTTGTTACTGACACTACATTTAATCAATATTCTTAATGAGAGCTCCCAGAAACGGTTCTGCAGGGGTTTTACGCCCGCTAGGACCTCTAGGCTCATATTGTGTGTTGAATGCATACAGCCAAGGGCAATACGTAAACAACGATATTGAATACGTTCCAATTTGATTAGGCGGCTTTTTCTTGCCGAGTGGAAGCAAAAAGAGCCATACTCAAGAACTGAAAGAATAGTCGTTTTATATAGTTTAATGAGGTCTTCCGGGTGAGCACCCCACCATGTCCCGGAAATTGATCGTAGAAAGTTGATCCTTTGTTGACACTTTTGTTTCAAATACGTAATATGGGTACCCCAAGTGCATTTTGAATCAAACCAGACTCCAAGGTATTTGAAGGTTAAAGATTGGGTAATGTCTCTGCCCAAAAGATTTAGACGCAGTTGGGCTGGAAACTGCTTCCTTGTAAACACTACCAATTCAGTTTTTTGCGGTGAAAACTCGATCCCTAAATTTCTTGCCCAGAAAGACAGATTATTTAGGGAATTTTGCAATGGTCTTTGCAAGATTTCCGCACGTGGACCTCTCATGGAAACCACGGCATTGTCTGCAAGCTGTCTAAGCGTGCATAGATTATCTAAGCAGTTATCAATATCTTTGACATAGAAATTATAAAGTAAGGGACTTAAACATGAACCTTGGGGTAAGCCCATGTAGCTAATTCTAGAAGTTGTCAGTTGACCTAGATTGAAGGTCATTTGTTTTTCTGACAGCAAATTATACAAAAAAATATTCAAAATACCGGGTAATCCACTACTGTGCAAATTGTCTGACAGTATGTCTATGGAAACCGAATCAAATGCGCCCTTAATATCCAAAAAGACTGAAGCCAATTGCTCCTTGTGCGCAAAGGCCAGTTGAATATCAGATGAAAGCATCGCTAGACAATCGTTTGTTCCTTTACTCTTCCGGAAACCAAATTGCGTATTTGAAAGTAGATTGTTTGATTCAACCCAATGGTCAAGTCTTAATAGGATCATTTTTTCTAATAATTTCCTCAGGCATGATAACATAGAGATCGGACGGTAAGAATTGTGATCAGACGCTGGTTTCCCAGGCTTTTGAATAGCTATTACTTTAACCTGTCTCCATGCTGGTGGAACTATATTGAATTCCATAAATGAATTATATAGGTTAAGTAATCGTCTTTTAGCGATATCGGGGAGGTTTTTTAGAAGGTCGAATTTGATCATATCGCTTCCCGGAGCAGAGTTATTCGATGAAAGAAGTGCCATTGAAAATTCCAGTATCGTGAATGGTTCATCCAGAGAACCGTTACTTCGGACTGTATCCCGTAAAGTTGGTTGTGCTGGAACAGAATCTGGACAAACCTTTTTAGCGAAGTCGAATATCCATTGGGAGGAGTATTCTTCACTCTCATTGGAAGATGAGCGGTTTCGCATATAGCGAGCCTTTTTCCAAAGCGTTGTCATCGAGGTTTCTCTAGAAAGTCCCTCGATAAAAGTACGCCAGTAATTTCGTTTCTTTGCTTTTAGTAAGTTTTTAAGCTTTTTTTCAAGCTTTAGATACTTTTCAAAAAACTCAGATCTTTCATGTCTACGATAATCTTTAAAGGCATCGGATTTCTCAAGATACAACTTTGTGCATTCGTCATCCCATCCAGGGGTGGCGGGTCTTCTTTTGAGGGATGCACTTGGAACACGTCGTTTCTGAGCTTCTAATGCGCTTTTTGTAGATTAGCTCGGTAAAGAAACGATACTCTTCCAGTGGTGGTAGAGGATCGGTAGAATCAATACCAAGAGTTACCACCGATACAAATTTTTGCCAATCAATGTTCCTCGTGAGGTCAAAAGGAACTTGAATTGACTGATCTGTTTTTAGACGACCACTTTTGATTGAAATAATAATTGGCAAGTGATCACTACCATGGGGATCATTGATAACCTTCCACAGACAATCTAATGATAGTGAGTTAGAGCACAAAGAAATGTCAAGACGGCTCTCTCGAGCAGGAGGGTTTGCTATACGTGTTGCTTCACCAGTGTTCAAGATAGTCAAGTTGAAATCGTCGCACAAATCATAGAAAATACCCGCTCTATTGTCATCGTATGATTCGCCCCAACCAGTACCGTGTGAGTTCATATCGCCCAGTATTAGAACTGGAGATGGAAGGATATTAACTGAACTCCAAAGCTGACGGCGGTTTATGGAAGTCCTTGGAGGGACATATACAGAAGCTATGCAAAGATCTTTGTTCTTCACATTTATTTGGCAAGCGACAATTTTAATGCCTAAAATTATTGGGATTGAGATTTTATAGAAGGAGTAGCACTTTTTGATCCCCAAAAGTACGCCACCATATGAATCATCTCGGTCCAGGCGGATAATGTTAAAATCGTGGAAGTTTAGTTCATCTTCAGAAGAAAGCCAAGTTTCACAGAGTGCAAATATATCACAATCAGAATTGTGAATCAAATACTTGAACGAGTCTAATTTAGGTATTAAACTACGACAGTTCCATTGTAATAAAGTGATCATATCTTGATCCTCACTCGACGAATTATCCATCGAAAGATATGAATTCACCAATGAGGGGCCATGATGCAGTCAATTGCTTGAAGTAGTTTCCGACTATAGGAACAAGCAGGTCAATAAGCCCTCGAAGTGGCGATTCGTCGGGAAAGCCGAGGGCATTCAAAATATTATCCACAATGTCCTTAAATTTAATCTTTCCTCGCTTGGACGGGAGAGTTTTCTTTGAATTGCGAGTAGACGTGGTGTTTATTTTTGGTAATCTCTTACGATTACCTTTATTAGGTAGCGGCGGGGTGGAAAAGCTGCAGCAAGGATCAGATGGAGCAGCAATTACCGATTTGTTCGGCTTTTTCAATGAATCCCCGCTACCTTCAGATTTTTGCATGCTTTTGAGAGTGGTTTTATTTTTTTTTTCCGGCGCACTCCCGGGGAGCTAGTCGGCTTCCTTTTACCGGGGGCGTGTACCTCCGGAGACTCACTCTCATCTGCTATGTCAGAGTCCAGTTCATCGGAAGACAAAATCTCAAAAGTGTTTTCATTTT